TTAAAGACGGAGCGGTTTTTTAGCCCCCCTGTATTATTATTTTGTCATTTTTTACGTTTTTGTCAAAAATTTTATATTTTTTTCATTTTTTTTTCGCAATTTATTTGGTTTTTAGTTCAAAATTTGAACTCGTTATTCCATTTTCATTTTACTATAATTGAACTACACTGTATAATATAATTTTTTTCAAAAAAACAAAAACACTGCTCTTTTTAACAGTATTGGTTTGTTGGGGATTAGGTACGTCGGCGAGTTAAAATACAGTATATATTCGATAATAGTCCAGTCTATGTTCCAGTCTTATTCGATATAAGGTCAAATAAAAAAAACTTGAATAATTAACAAAAAATACCACATTTTGTTTTTTTGTCTCAACATAAATCCAAATTATATTTTCACCCCAAAAATATTTTTGCCGTTTTTTATAAAAAAAAACTTTTGTAATTTATTATATAAAAACATATGCTTTATTTTATTAGTGTTTATTAAAACATAAAACGTCCGTTATAAAATCAAAATATTGATAGACAACATAAACAGCATTAAAACGAACATATTAAGAGCAATATTGACAACTCTTGGTTTTCAAAACAAACATGCGTTGTTATATCATTATTCAACACGCTCCAACTACACATTAATTAACATTATTTCGGTTTTAGATGAAAAACTCATTTGCTTTTAAATAATTGTAAAAATTATTTTAATTTTTTTCAACTTAATGACAATTTGGTTTATGTATTACCATTTTATGGTTTTGGACAAAAAATTATTAAAAATTAGCAAAAAAAGAATTTGTTGTTTTTTGATTTTTTTTCAATATTTGATAAGAGACCTCCCTTTTATTTTTTGGTCTCTTATCGAATAAATCCTTATATCGAATTGCCCTCTTATCGAATATTGACTGTATAATTTCAAATACTCCAAATTTAGTATCAAAACCCTCATTTTTATACCATTCTTTCATTTTTATGGGCTTACTTGACCGACTATACAATTAAATTTTAAAAATTTCATTTTTTGTTTTATCGAACATTTTCTGTATGATATCAACAACCTCTTCACATGTTATTCTTTCTTTCCGTTTTTGTGCCCACATTTCTTCAAGTAAACTTTTTTCATCATCACTAAGACACTTGTCATCTGGTCGCTTCCCATTGGAGACCAACTCGGGTATTTCAAAGAAATATTTCACGTCTCCAAAAGCGTCTTTCCATGCAAATGCCTCAAAGAAAGTAATACCAAGTGAATACACATCCGCAGCAATTGAGTATTTCTGTCCATTCAACAACTCGGGTGCCATGTACTTAGGTGTGCCAACGCCCTTTGTGAATGTCAAATTTGACATCAACAAATTCACGTTTCTTGCACTTCCAAAGTCTGAAAGTTTAGCGTTTACTTCGGTAATACTTTGCAACTCAACAACAAGAATATTTCCGGGCTTGATGTCTCTGTGAAAAATACCATTGAAGTGTAAATAGTTGACACCCTTTGTGGCATCTAATAAGATTTTATAACGAATTGTTAATGGCAATATAATGTCATCACACTGAAGCACATCAGTGTGACTACGTTTCATTTTATATCTTTTGATGATCTGATCCAGACTCCTATAAATGATAAACTCCATGACAATCATGTGTTTTCCATTTTGTGCTACAGCTCCAATGAATTCAACTATATACGGATTTCGTATTTTTTGTAACATGTCGACTTCTGTTATGAACTCATCGTCTTTGACATTTTTGAATTGTCTGATCTTCTTCACTGCGACTGTACGCCCTTTGTATGTTGCTTTGAATATGATACCAACACCACCCGACATATTTCAGTCATATTAGTAATGCTACTGTCGTCAATCCACGTTGAAAGTGCTGTTGAAAATATGAGTGGTATTCTTTTGGTTAACTCGACACCACGTTCCAGAAATACGCAACTCAGTGTCAACGAACTTTTAAAATCGCCAGAGTACGTCGGTGAAATTTCAATTGTGAAAAGACAAGCGTCTCTTGGTCGTAATGTGACGACTTTTGGCGAGATGGTTATTTTGTAACTTTTGCGGTGAATATAGACCAACTGCAGCTTTACACAACATTTCGATTTGTTGGCAAATACAACTGTTTTAATACACATTCTGTTGACTGGTAAGTCAACACCAAAATCAAGTGTTGATGAATTTGTGTATATCTTGTCTATAAGTTGTTTTATTGGTTCTCTGACACAACGAATAGAAAATATACCATTTTTCTTTCTCTCTACATTAAGGTGATGTGTCTGTATGATGTACAATCCAACAAGACTCATAATGATTGTAAATAATATCAGTAAGATTATACATCCAAATATCACAATAAGTAGGATCTTAGTTATATTTATTTTATCACAAGATACCATTTCGTCACTTTTAACATACCAAAAGTTGCATCGTTCACACAACGAATTTATAACATTAACACAACGATTTATATACAATCGCTCAATACATATACCAGAAGATAAGACCACGTTGTTACTACACTTGTTGCACAAGTCTGCTGTTGAACACGATGAGCAGTTTTGTTTGCATTGAATACAACGTAGTCCACTTTTGTAATACCCATCAGAACATTTTAAACACCCCAAAGTTTCTGAGAATTCACCACAATTTGTGATGTTGTATATACTCTCACAAACTCCATTTTCATTTACAAAATACTTTTTATCCCACTTATCACATTTTATATCGTTTTTACAAATAGCACATGGAAAAGTACACTTAAAACATGATGAATTGCTGATATAATATCCATCCACACATTGTGCGCATTGCCCATTCGCATCATATAAAATACAAATGCCTTCAAGTGCAAAAATAGTGAGACACTTCCCGTTTGAAAGGACGGTGCCTGTGATACAACTTTGACACTTCTCCGAGTTTTCTGTACATTCTGTGCACTTTGTGTTGCATTTGCTGCATTTGTTATTTTTGTCAGCGTAATACCCCTTTGCACATCGAAGACACCCAATAGGTGTAAACATTTCACAATTATCACCTTGTGTGATGGTGCCTTGGTAACACTTTCCATGCAATAAAACATAATTAGACTCACATTAATAGCACACGTTTTCTATGAAATACAAACAATGTGTTATGGATGCTTGGCACTTGCCATTTTCAGACAATGTGTAACCACGCGGGCACCATGTTGTTGTTTTTAAAGTGCTTAAATTTTTGATTGGAATCACACAATTTTGTGAAGTGTCGAGTGAATACCCAGAAATGCATTTGGTGCACTTCTTCTTGTCACACAACTCACAATTCAAAAAAGTCCTTTTACATAACTGACATGAGTTTTGGTGATTGTAGTACCCATCATTGCAACTAATTACAGAATGTGAGTATACTATCTTCTCTCCATATCCTTTAGATTGACATTTCTCATTGATTAAAATTAAATTTGATGCACATATAAGATACATTCCTCACAAACAAAACAAGCACCTTTCGTCACATTTTTTAAATTCGTGTTGTTGGTAATCAAACGTACCACCTAACGCAGCACAAATATCACCAAATAATTTTTTACAAAACTGAGTTCTTATACAATTTCCTGCTTTGTTCATGAAATAGCCATCACTGCATTGTATTGCATATGTTTTGTTGACACAATCTCTGGTGTTATTTTCACATGTTACATATTTGTTGTTATCGAAAAACATATGTGATATGTACTTCCCTCCACTTTTAATAATACCCTTTAATTTTATATTGTAGTAATACACCGAATCGTATTCATAAATACCTGTATATGTCATATATTTGTTACTCAAAAGTAGAATTCCTTGAACGCTTCTCTATGTTTCGATAGTAGTATACAAATCATTGGTAATAAAATACACAACAAGTGGGATATTCGACACTTCTATAATTGAGTACGTGTCGTTATTTAAACTGATTTTATTCACAACTTCATTAACAAATGTAGTTGTAGAGTCCGCACAATTCACAGTGAATTGAGTTTTTTCTGGTGATACGAGTACCGTTTTTTTCAATATAATTTAAACAATATGGTATTTGTGCTTTAAATAAATTTTTCTTTTCAATAACTCCAAAATTTCCTTTGAAATAACAATTGTAACAAATATCAACAACAATGTCCACTAAAAAGTTTTGTTTGAAATCGATAAAAAGAGTATTTATAGTCGGTCCAATGTATATTGTTTTGACTTCGGAAATGACAAGCATTATATGTGTTTTATTGGCTGTGTACGGACAGTGTGGATGTGTAAATGATGTTAGAAGTCTGCCAAATTTAAAGTTATTATTAAAGTTACTATCATTAATATAACAACACCTCTGTTGGAAAATTGACACCTTTTAGGATTTCTTGTTTTTTTGAAAATTGAGGAATGTTTTTGGAAATGTTGTGAAGTAAAATGTTGATGGTTTTATTTTGTGTGCCACTAGAAAAGTCGCTTTTATTAATAAATTTGTTATTTTGACTACTATTATAATATCTATCAGGACAATACCTAAGTAATCTTCCATTTGCCATCAATTGTAAATATACGATATACTCTGGTTGCGACATTTTTTTATTGTTAGATATGAAGTCAAAACAGTTGTCTGAAAATATCATAGTTTCGACTCGTAAAAAGTATGCACCATTTAATATAGTAAATATTGGGTTTTTGTATATGTCTGCGTTATAAACAAATAAAGACACATATTCAAAATACAGAAACGACAAACATCGACGTGAATAGACTTCATCTTTTATTGTGAATGTAGCACATATTTTTTTATTAATATGTTTGCTGTATATATAAAATATTGCGCCACTCTCTATCTCAATTTTAATAAGATGGTTTATATCTCTATTATATAATAATAGCGCATTTGTAATTTCAAAATGTGACCCACTTGGAAATAAGCCATGCGATGAATTCCAAAACTCTATACACGAATTGATTGATAAAAAGACACTTGAACTAAATTCA